CAGCCAGTCAGGCGATCTGTCAGTGACAAAGTTAGCCTGTGAGTGGGCTTGGGCTCCCTCTGGTCAGGGGACCTCACAAAATGGGAGCGGCAGTTTTTCCACAGAGCTGCTGACAGTAGGACTGACCAAGTGAAGGGGAGACATGAGGTCAAAGAGGTGTTTGGGACAGGAATCTCCATGGGAGATATGGGCCCTGCACGAGTGTTTGTGGGGAGGGGAAAAGGAAGGAGAAACAGAGATGAAGGTGAAAGACCAGCTTCTGTCCCAGTAGGGTGGTAAGACCAGGGCTGGGGGTATTCGAGATGTGTGTAAGACAGACATGACTCAATTTGCAACATCAGTGTTTATGGTGTAGAGGTTTGGACTATCTATCAGATCCTCCTAGTATAGCCTGGAAATGTTTCCCCCACCAAATGTTATGAGGTAATATCACGTGGAAGGTGGAATGCTGGGCCACGGAGTCATGAAAACTGAATTCTTGTTCCAGCTTCTCTATTATTCTGTGTCATTATGTACATCATTGAGGGCCTCTGAATTCAGTTTTCTCGCCTGCAAAGCAAGAGAGCTGATTCATGTGATCTCTAGGTTCCCTTCCAGCCCTGTGATTATGAATTCTGGGATTCTGAAATGGGCACATTCTCTTACAATTTGTCTCTTATGCCTAAAAATGGAATGTAGGGGAAATTATAGATTATTAAGGGTGTCTGATTATTTATGTTATTAATCACTGTTTGACTAATTGGTTCCTATTCTAGAGTCCTCTTTAATACTTTTATTCTGAAATCAACCATGTTACTGCTCCTATTACCTGCTCACATTATGAAGGCAGCTCAAGGCATTAACTCTTCTAGAGCTCCTCAGTACAGGTTAAGGTAATATAACTCAGAGAGAGAAAAGAGAGAGTGTGGATTATTGGCTCATAGGTAGCTATGGCTAAAAAATAGGATGCTTCCCAAATACATGGGAATCAAAGTGGCTACCGACTCAATTATATAAGATAAATTCACCACCCCACAATACGGCAGATAAGCACTTTTTTTTTCTTGTCTCTTTCACTGTCCCCAGAGCCCATCTGATCATCAAAGAAATGTATTAGGATTCAAAAAACAAACGAGAAACAGGAGGATGAGGACACATCTCTTGAATTCCCAGATTCCACTGAGTAGACAATTAGTTGGAAGAAAGTAGGGAAGAAAGGAGAGCCTGGTTTTCAGAATGGAAGAGGCATTGACTGTCTATAGTATGTCCAGTATGTCAAGTATGTAAAGCAGGGGGAGAGATTTGAGTGTTTCTGTTTTTCCCCACAGGATTCTACCTTCCCCAATCTACACACTATCCCACCCCAAGTTGAGAGTCACTGGGTTATCTTAGTAACCCAGTTCTGTTAGTCAGTTTGGGCTGCTATAAGAAATTACCAAGGGGGAGGGGTAGAGGCTTAAACAATAAACCTTTCTCACAGTTCTGGAGACTGGGAAGCACAAAGTCAGGCTGCCAGCAGATCCAGTGTCTGGTGAAGGCACTCTTCCTGGTTCGAGAATGGCTCTCTTCTCCTTGCATCCTCAAATGATAGAGGGCAGAAAGCGAAAGTTCTTGTGTCTTTTTTATAAGGGAGCCAATCCCATCCATGGCAGCTCCACCCTCATGACCTAATTACCTTTCAAAGTCTTCACCTGCTCATAAGATCACGTTAAGGGTTAGGATTTCAACATATGAATTTGTGGGGGAGGGGACACAAACATTCAGTCCATAATACCTGTCCCCCTAAGGGCATAATCAACAAACAACTAAATTCTCATCTTAAATTTAAAAGGACTATGGGGAAAAGAAATAAAAAACCATATTCAACATCCTGCTAGCTAGCTAAATATTTTAAGGGGAAAAAAATCTAAGCGGGGAAACTGCCAGAAATGTTAGAAAATGTTTACAGAGATATTGTTAGAAAGTTTCATAGTGGCAAGAAAAAAAAAGAAAAAGAAAAAAACCACAGAGAAATGTTTATATAGTGTTTTACTCTGCCAGGAAGCAATATAAACATAGGAATCTGTACACTTCCTTCTCTTCAAAGTAAGGGGAACCGAAGCAGATTTAGATCCCCAGAACTCCCAATCATCCTGGATCAAATTACAGAATATGAATCCTGGTGTTATCATCATTAAGAACCCCAAATTTCCATAGACTTTTTATTTTCTAATCTATAGATTTCCTCAGAAACCTTAAAAACAAGGTGAGCTAAGAGTATGTTCTATTTTGCTGGATCAACAGAACACACCAGTTAACTAAGTATTTCAAGTTCAGCTACATTATCAAAGTCTCCAAAGCAGTCTCCTTGGATTCCCAGGATGGCAACCTTCGCTCTGCCCAATTTACCACAGGTCTTAGCCTCCTCCTCCAAGGCAGTCCAATGGGTCTGCTCAGAAGAGCCCAGCAATTAGGAAAACTGTGGTCAGCCACTCTCTCACCCCACCCAAAAACATCAGGGCCTTTATTTTACCCCAGGAGTCAGCAACAGCAAGCATGTACTAGGCCGGGAAGATTAAAGGCACTCTGAATTACTATGCTTGCACTGGAATAGTCATCATCGGGTTAAAGGGGACTACATAACACCAGTGCTCCGTGCACTTTGTTAAAACTAGCGAAAGGTGTATACTTTGACTTGCATGAAGCACACTACTGTATGAAGGTGTAAAGGGATTACTGAATGTGCTTATTTCTATGTAGAACAAGGATAGTGCCTTGGCAAACAGATGCATCTAAATTTCCTATTCCCTGGGAGCCTTCCATTTCTATGTCTGAGTCTCTTCTGACCTATCTTGCAATTCTTCAGCTATTTGTCTATTCTGATATTAAACAATTCCACTAAATTCTTAATTTCAATTATAGAGTTTTTGAGAATTCTAGAATTTTTCTTTTTTTCAAACCTGATGTCACTTTTTATAGTTTTAGTTTCCTGACAGAATGTTCAAGCTTGGCTTTTATGTCCTTGAACACAGTAAGCATAATTTTTATAGTCTATATCAGGGGTCGGCAAACTGCAGCTCACGAGCCACGTGCAGCTCTTTGGGTGTGTTCCGTCTCAAAAGTTTGGAAGAGCCAATCCTATCCCTCAAAACAATTTAAAAATTATTCAAGAGGCATAAATATATTTTTACATAATCACCATTATGTGAACAATATCCTTGAAAAATTTTATAAATGAAACTATGATAGTTTTATTTATTT